AATCATCAATTTCAGTGAAAATAGCAAAAAATGGGTGCTGATCAGACAGAGGTGATACTATTCTCTGATGTGAAAAAATAAGTGGTTTAAAGTGAAAAAGTGAGATGGAATGATAGAGCAAATATATTGCTTTATACATACATTGCCATAGAAAATGGTAGATTTGATTTTTTATTCTTCAGATTAGGTTTCTTGTTCTTTTTGTGCCAGCTTAGCACTTAAACAATTCTGCTCCTTTAAAAGCCTGGATTTGGTAGCTCCAGCTAAAGCCAGCCTGGGTGTGTGACAGGCATTTTAAGGGAAGAGTGAATTCCTTGGATACCGATGACTCTGTGGTGCTTCCCGAGCAGTTTGTCCCTGCCWGCAGCAGCCTGAACYGGTGATTCTGTATTTCATGTCCCTYCCCTGACACTGTAGCACCTSTCAGAGCATCACAACCCCTGCAGTGCYTTTTCCAGAAAATGGGAATATCCTCGCTGGGAGCTGTAGAAATCAAAGCTGTGAGCAGCACGAGGGCCATGAAAATCACGTTTTTACATCACAGTGGGTTCTTTTGCATTGTTTTCCTCATGGGCACCCAGGGATGGTGCCCCACATTCTGCTTTTTCTGCAGGGCATTCTGCAAGCTCTGGAATTTCTGCTGAGGAGGAATTACAGACCCCGGCGCTCTTTCTACGTTGGCATTGGCCACGACGAGGAGGTATTTTGTTTCCTTTCAAGTTGAAATAACAACTTGTTTGCATTGTTCATGTAGGTAACAAGGCTTAATTTTAAAACATTGTTTAGCTGGAAGGTCTTTCCTGTTTTTCTTGGTTCTGTGGGCAGATACAGTGTCAGGCCCCAGGTCACAGTTATGTATTGATTGTTTGGCTTGGAGTGACATTCACAAAGGGTTTGGTGTGATGAGCAAAGAGAAAAGAACACCAGAGGGTGTTATTTCAAATTCTTTTCTSCAAGGAAGGTGCAGCAGGAGTCCCATTTTGGAGACAGGAAAAGCTGGGTTAAGATTCACATGATTGTGTCAAATGAGCAGGAAAAACTGACAAAAATATTCCAGTGGTACAGACAGGTGAGGTGGGTTTGGTTAAGCACTGGCAAAATATAAATACAAGAATTATTAAGAGTTGAAATGAATAGGTCTGAAATTGCTAATCTGGACTTCATAGCTCTGAGATATCATCAAAATTAAAGCAGCAGTCAGTGACTTATCAATGAGAGCACTCATCACGGATATAAATTCATCTGCTATCAGCCCATTAACAATCTGCAATTAATTTTCCTGGAAGAATCTTRTTGTTGCTCTGGAGCTGTTCCCCAGGGGATTCCCTGCATTCTTTGTCCTTTAGCCAGCAGCAAGGTATTTCCCAGTTCTCCCAGTGCTGTGGCTGGATCTGATCTGTTCCTCTGCCTGGRTTTTCACAGGTGTCTGGTCTGAAGGGAGGGAGGAAAATCGCAGCTCTGCTGGAATCCCGAGGGATAAAACTCWCCTTCCTGCTGGACGAGGGCAGCGCTGTGCTGGATGGAATCATTGCAGGAGTAAAGAAGCCAGTGGCTATGTAAGAGTGACCCCGATGAAAGTGATTCATTTGCAGTCATTAATTAGTGATAAATAACATGATTAATGTCGCTCCAGTATGTTTTCGAGCATGTGGCACATGTTGGTGCTGCTGAAGCTGCAGCAGTGGCACAAAGTGCAAGGCAGGGACCTTCAGCCTTTGCCTGCTGCCCATCACAGCTGTGCTGACACAGGCAGAATGTTCCAGGGAGTCCAGGCAAGCATTTTAATTCTGTGCTGGAGAGCTCTGCTCACTGGAGAAGCAGCTSAGACATCAGGCCTCCAGAGATCTGAATCCGTGTTAATGATTTGTTGTTGCTGCTTGAGTGTTTTTTTATCATACCAAAATTATGCAGAGTGGTTATTTTTATCTGCAGCCTGTGCTTTTGGGTTTGGAATTGCATTAGTCATTTATTTGTGAATTAATTGATGGATTGATTTATCATTGAGCAGGATTGCTGTCACAGAAAAAGGTTCAATGACACTGAACTTTACTGTGGAAAAAGAGCCAGGACATTCATCCTTTCCTCCTAAGGAGACAAGTATTGGCATTCTGGCAGCAGCCATGTCCAGGTGAGAGCTTYCCTGTCACACAGTGTCAAAAACAGCTCAAAAAAAACTCCCAAATCACTGATACGTGACTTTTTTAATACTTCTGTTTAGATTATTGTTCAAATTGCTGTTGTGTATTTGACATTGCAGTTTGTAGCTCACTTTGAAGGGCAGAAATGCAACTCCCAGCCAAGGGACAATTGCCAGGTGTCTGCAGTGTCTTCTCACTTCAGCTCTTCCAAGCATCAGTCAATTCTTTAMAAGCCAGACAAGTGCTGCCTGCCCTGATTCACTCTGTAGCAGCAGAGATTYCTTTGTTTGGGTGACAGGATTTCTCTGGAATTTGTTCTTGCACATCCCTGCTACCTCAGCTGGTAATTCTCCAAGCCAATAAACACGGAATAGAGTCATAATGTGACTGCAGAAATCATCTCTTCACATCTCAGTTGATATCAAACTAGCTGATAAATACATATTTTAGAAAAACTGAGTATGTCCAGGCATGGTGGGATTTGTGTGTGTGTTTTTCTGGATTTCCATGGATTTATAGGATTCAGGCTTTGGGATTTTTTCTTCTGTTTTTCAAAGGAAGTCTTTGCCTGTGACTGGAATGCCCCAAAATCCATGGAGCTATGCTTGCACATTTACTTACCATGAGAGGAGAGTGTGATTGCACCTCCAATAACATGAATGTGTTGCAGAAATCAAATTGCTCACAACCTTCTGGAACAATAATAGCCAGAGAATTGTTCTTTTACCTTTCAAATGTCGATTTATTTTGTAGGCTGGAGCAAAACCCTTTGCGCAACCTTTTTGGCCACGGGCCAGAGCTCATGACTATGGAGCACCTTGCAGCAGAGGTGAGGAGAGAAGCAGGATTTCATTCCCACATTTCCATTTTAACGAGGGAGGARTAACCCAGTGCTGAATTTAGAGCACAGTTATGTGCAAAGGATAAAAAAGGATAAAAAAAAAAAGCTGGCCTTTCTCCCAGATAATTGTTTCTGCTGGAATTGTTTCAACCATATTCAAGTGACTCCTCTGTGCTCTCGACAAATAAAAACCGTTTGATTTGTGGTTTTATTTCTTCCCCTTAGTTCAAGTTTCCTCTCAACCTCATCATGAGCAATTTGTGGCTGTTCTCACCTATTGTCAGCAGGTAAGAAAAGAGATCCTTGACAAACATCCCCCTCTCACCCTTAAAAGATGAAGCCATTTCTGATGTTCCCAGGAAATAAATTATATCATTTTGTAGTTTAGACAGCTCAGTGTTTTCCTGTTAATAACCACTTCATTAATTGAATAAACCATTATTGCTTGTGGAATTGTGCTGCCTATGTTTCAGCAATCTCCAACTTCCTTGAAAAATTTTATTTCTATTTTTGTAGAGTTCTYGCCTGGAAACCTTCCACCAATGCCTTGATTCGAACAACCACTGCAGTCACCATGTTTAATGCAGGAATCAAGGTACTTTCATTTGGGTTTTTCTCCGTGGAATTATGATAAGACAATTGGGACATTTGATTTCCAGCTCTTTAAATCCATTTATAACATGTTATAATTCTATTTATAACATCATTGTGGCCCCTGTGTGGTGTCACAGTCTCATTCTTACCTCAGGTGTGGCTCRGATTTGGCTACAGTTGAAAATCACTTCCTTGCAGAAGTATCTGATCTCGGTCCACCACTGTTAAAATTGTTCATATTTTAGSATAGATAAGAAAATTTGTTTTCTGTATAATCCAACAAAGTATCAATGGCAATATTTGAAAATGTCACAGTCACAAACACTTCCCTGGCCCAGACATTTGTAGCACAGCTCTGKTGTTTGCCTGACAGGGGTAAGTGTGCACCTTGGACTAAGAGATAACAGCTTTGGGCTGATACAGCCAGATCCTGCCCTGATAAGGAGCTGGAGCTRTCCAAAAATACTGCAGCCCTGGAAAATAAATAGGCTATGTTCGGTGTGGCCCTGAAAAAATCTGTTACTGAAAAGCATCACTGGGCATCAGCATCAAGTGGCTGAACAGTGACACGGAGTGGCCAGGAGAGAAGTGACACCCTGGTTTATTGGGTTTTTTTTTCTAAAGATTATACATTTTAACAAAGTTATAAATATTCAGTCTGTAGATAAGAAGAGTGTTCAATAACATCATTTGTTAAGTGACTTACAGTTACCAAATATAAAACGTGTAATAACAATGAGGTAAAAATACTGCTTAAAAAAATCAGTGTCTGAATGGGAGAAGGCTTAGCTCAAGATAAAAACTTCTATATAAGAGCTGACTTCATTTTTGTTGAATTGATGAATATTTCTGTGTATTTATCTGCATTTGAGATGAGATTTACAGTATTTTAACATAGAAGGAGATGTCACACTTGGTGGAAGCAGTGAATCATTGATCTGAGGCCTGCAGTTGTTTGTGCAGTTTCTGAGGTTGCTGTTGGCATTTTATTCTGGTTTTAACTTCCTTTTAAACTTAGGTCCTTCCTTTTTTCTAGGTAAATGTCATCCCTTCCTCTGCCAGAGCCACRGTGAATTTCCGGATCCACTCGGCCGAGACGGCTGCTGAGGTACCCCTGGTCCAGATCTCMCCAGTTTTTGTGCCAAAACCCACATGGATCATATGGATTATGGAATGGGGCATTAAGGCCTGTGACCTATGAGAGTCTGGGAATCTTGCACACTTTAGGAGCTCTGACAGTTCTCTCTAGCCCAGGGCAGAACCTTGAAACCTGTGAAACYTTGTCAGTGCAAAGCATCTTCACTTCCCAAGCCTTTGCTGGAAGTTTCTGGAAGCTTTTTCTGGGTTGTTTGGATGCCATAACTCCCACGAGCAGCAGGTTGGCCATGTGCCTTTCAGGACTGAGGCAGTTCAGGAGCACCTTGAGGCAGGGATGTGCATCTGATTAATAAATTCAGCTGAAGTATCGCCCATCCACTCAGGAAGAGGAAGGGGGACTGACACAGTTTCAGTTTGTATTTGCAGCCACAACTGACAGTTCACAGAGAAATGTTTTCTGAGAAAGCTGAACATCTGCTGATGTTTGTTTATCTCTGTGCTTCACCCCCAGGTGCTGGAGACAGTCAGAAGCACCATTGCTGACGAGAGRGTGAAGATTGATGTGGTGGAGGCCTTTGACCCCCTGCCCGTCAGTCCTTGGGATGAGCAGACCTTTGCAGTCCATGTTTTCCAAAGAACCATCCTGGACATTTTCCCAGATGTTGACAGTGTAGTCCCAGGTAACAGCAGGCACATGATGATTATTGTTTCCTCTTCTGCTTTTCTCTCCCCCTCCCCCTGCCTTGTTTCCATTTGCTGTGTACTCCTCCACCCCAGCTGTTAACTACTGGAAACAGCTGTTTTTTCCTCTTTGTATTCCCTTCCCTCTTTATGCTTTACAAGTTTTAACGTTGTTTTTTAGCAGTGGAAGTAAAAAAGCAAACAGGAAGCTGACAGAAACAATGAGCCTTGAATTGGGCTCTCTGCACATACAAAAGGCATCTCTTCAGGGAAGAAAGGAGTTGTGAGGGAGAGGAGGAGGAGGTCTTCTTGCTTTAGCTCTTCTTTCATTGTTTTCATAGCTGGCAAAGCCATTCCTGCTTTTCTGTGTTGTTCTTGTCATCCCATCCCCTTCCCTTCCTTGCATCTCCTCCTGAACTCTGTTGGAACTGAAGTTTGAAGCTTAAATTTTTGGGGAGGCTGAGTGTCAAGGCTGTTCTTATTCCTGAAGGAGCTCCTCCTGAACTCTGTTGGAACTGAAGTTTGGGACTTAAATTTTTTGGGGAGGTTGAGTGTCAAGGCTGTTGTTCCTGAAGGAGAGAATGTTCTCCAGGCTGTACCATCAATGTTTCCAGTGATGCTCTTGGTGCAGGCAGTGCTTCCACAGAGCTGTTATCAGACACTTTTCCTCTCTCCTGGGGAAAAGGTGGGGTCACTTTTTCATTCCTCTCCTACAGAATCAACCTGGGATTTGTTTTCCAGGCACGTGCATTGGAAACACAGACAGCAGGCACTTCACCAACGTCACCAATGCCATTTACAGGTTCAACCCTCTGCTCCTGGCACAGGATGATCTYCCCAGGTACTGAGCTCTGCAGCTGTCGGGGTGGGGCTGGGGAAAAGGGAGATCCACGTGCATCAGGCAGAAGGAAACCCACCCTTGTGTACCTTGGCCTCTGTCAGGCCACCCATTTCCTGCAGATTTGGGTGCTGCACTGACAGGGGATGGAAATTACCCTGGGACAGCATCAGGCCTTGCTCTTTGTTGTTCAGATGCAGGCAGGGCTCATTTAGTAGAGCTGGGTGGATTCTTTCTGTGCTGCAGCAGTGTTGTTCTGGCAGTTGGGCTGTTCCAATTTATCCAGAAATTTGGACTCTTGCCCCTCTAAATTGATTTGCTCCTTAAAGCTGGAAATTTCCTGAAGTGAAGTGAAAACAGCATCATCATACAAGGACTGTTTGTTTCTTTAGGTTTATCATTTTATTGAGGTGCAGATGATGCAGAGTAGAGTGTTCTGGCTGTACAGGACAGTGGCAGAAATGGGCAGAGAGCTGCAATACTGTTAGGATTTTTTCCAGATTCGATTTTTAGATTTTTTCCAGACTTAGTTCTTGGGCACTGAGCCTTGTTATCAGTACATTTGGGTTGGTTACAGTGCAGTTTTTSGTGTATATTGCTGTGTTTTATGCTGTGCACTGCTTTAGAAAGTTCAACAACCAAGCAGAGTGCTGGGTGAGTGCAGCTGGGTCAGAAATTCACCCTGGCCTGAAAAATGCCCTTTTTTTTTTCAGGATCCATGGGTTAAACGAGAGAATCTCCATTGAGAATTATGAGAGACAAGTGGAGTTCCTCTTTCAGCTGATCAAGAACTGTGACATCGAGACACTGCCAGAGCCTCACGCCAACTCCCACGAGCTCTGAGAGACATTTGGGGAGAGCAACTGCTCAGGTGGACTCTGGGACAGGCCAGAAGATGTGTGTTGTATATTGAGCTACAGCTGGAATTTTATTTTTTTTAATATTGTGGTTTACATACAGATGGAGAAAGTGCTGGTTGTGTGATAGGAACCTGGCATAAGCCAACAAATAATCCCGATTTCTGCTCTCCGTGGCTGATGTGCAGCCATGAATCTGACACTGATTTTTTGCAGCACTTTAAACCTGTGAAATTGGTAATCACTTCAAAATCTAAGCAGTCACTCACCAGCAGAAAGTGAATCATCCTGTGTGCTTTTGAAAACTCGTTTTTTTGTGGTGAATTGAGCGTGAAGAAGCTCACGTGGAGGGTTTGTGACRTGGTGAGAGGGTTCAAGTCACTGCTGCATGAGGGAATGCTCTCACCAGCATCCATGGCACTCCCAGCTCTCCCATGGCTGCACTGATTTCTCACTTTCCAGGTACTGACCCCCAGAAATTGTAACTAATGAGGTGCTGAGAATTTTCCTTCCTATCATTTTAGCAAATATTTTCCCCCTCCCTGGCTCTTTGGGTTGGCTCAAGGTATGTTGTGCAGTTGGGTGTCAGAATAAGGAATTGCAGCTTTAAATAAGGAATGAAATCACTGCTGTCTGCTCATTTCTCTTTTCACTGAATCAGTTCACGCTTCTCCTTTGCTCTTCTGAGAACTTGATTGTGAAAGATGTGAAGCCCTTCAGTTTCTTGCAGTTCAGAGGGATCAGAGGTTTGTTCCTTCACTGCCTGTGCAAGCAATTTCCTGCTGACTCGATTTTTTGGGAATCATGGGATAGATAGGCCATGGATGTTGACTCTGCTTCATTTTGCACTTCTTGCCTACCTTTGACAGCACTGAAGGGTTCAGCATTCTTTTGGCCTTGACAGTTGGGGTTACCAGTATTAATGAGACARATTAATTATTTCATTAAATTAATTATTTAAATAAAGAGTTAACGATGTGATATTTGCCAAAGAAAAGCCTGAAAGCTGCTCTGTGCCACTGACAGTCTGTGCTGCAGGGACCAGTGCAGCTCCTCCTGCTGCAGAGATGTGTCTCTGTTTTGTTAGAGTTATGCACTGCAATGGGTGGTTGTTCTGCTCTAAATTCATACTGTGAAATGTGCTGGAATGTACAGGAAATACCCTGAAATGTATCCTGAAAAACACYGATGGAACTGTGATTCCAATTCTTTCCGTTCACCATTTTATTTATTTGCAGGCTGATCTTATCACTACAGCCAGAGGGCTACAACGGTACCATTTACTGGATAATTGAAACAAAACTGACATTTTCATCTAATAAAACAGGGAATGGGAATTCTTTTCTGATGATTATTTCATTTTTTTTATCTAACTCTGTAATTGCAGTGAAATCATTTCCACACCTGAGCGATTCATTACATTTCCATCAAAACAAACCCACCTATTTTCCAGCCAGCTTTAATCTTCACRCCCTCCCTTTCTATACAAAATCAGCTAACCCTGCTTGGGCATTATTGGGCAGTAAATAGTTTGCATCTTTTATGGTTTGCTGCACTTTGTCTGTGATTGCCCTCCYGTCAGGGATTTGTTGGGCCACGTGGCCGTGGCTCTTTTGTGGAGGTGTCGCTGCTCCTGTGAGCTCCCATTTGCAGGCACAGCAAAAGTGATGTGTCAGGGCACAGCGCTGAATAGAGCTGTGGAGGTGCAGGGAAGGGGTGGYTGGTGTTGTTTTTCTCAGTAAAATTGAGTTTAAAGCTTTTGCTTTGGCTGTGGCAGCGTGAGGTCAATATTGTTTAAMACCTGATGGTTGTGCTGCCAGGCAGAGGCTGGAAAAATGGGAAAACAGGGAAAAAATGGGGAAAATCTCACAAGAGAGCACAGGGTGTGAAAATCCTAACCTRGGTCATGCTGGTGGGGTGTGGAAGGAGGGATTTGCTGCCTCTTGTACCATCAGATGAGTCCTAAAGACACAAACCATCCTTTCTATTTTGTAATCTGTCCCCAGCCAAAAAAAYGCTCACCTGAGTTTCTTTTGAAGATTGTTTCTTTAAAGGAAAAAGATTCATTTTGCTGCTGAAGGAAAATTGAAGGGCAGAGGGTGCTGGGAAGGCAGGGCTGGGTTTGGCAGCTCCTGTGTGAATGTGTGCCATGAGATTTGGCTGGGGCAGGTCCTCGCAGAGCTCATTAAGTGCTGCTCATCAGTCAGGGCTGGGATCCTGCAGCGCCTCAGAGCTTTGCTGCAACCTGAGAGGCCACTAAAGTGCTTCAAACAGACCTTGTCCTGCAGGATCCACTGGGAAACAGCACATTCCCCATCCCTGCCCATTTCCCCATCACTTCTGGTGATTTTTTTTGGCTTTTCTCACAGGGCAGCTTTGCCTTTGTGTCYCTCAAGGCTCCTCATTTTATCACTTTGCTGCTAGGTCGTGGTTGTCACAGGATTCCAGAGAATCTCTCAATGGTTTGACACCTGCACACAGCTCTTGACAGAACAGCTCTCTCCCACCCCATCTTTCTGTTCCAGGAGATGTTTTCTGGGAATGTCTGACTTCCTGAGAGGTGTGAAATCTCAGTGCRTCACAGAAATAATAGGAACAATATGAACGATGCCTTTTCTGTTAAAATCACCTTGTGTGGTGTGAGCAGTTACTGGATGATGCTAAGCACTTCGTGAAAACCCACATTAATTATTCTGGGAGCTATTCTTTATATTGTTTTTTGCTGTTGTAGTGAGTCACCGTGCTTGGAGCAGGGAGAGCAATTACCTCTGACTCATCAGAGAAGGAAGGAAGAGCCCGATTTTCTGCTCTGGAGACAGGTAATTCAGTCAGAYTGACAGATAGGGTTTGAACACTCTGTTAGCCCAATTCCAGCGTGGGTTATAGCCGTAAGAAATCCCTTTTTTCCCTGTTTTCCCCCAAATCTACAAAGTTGCATTTTTCTAACAGTGACTCAAAACCTGCGCTTGTCCAGCTGAGCTCAGCCGTGTGGGCCTGTTACACCCTGGAGAAAAGGTCACATCCCACACCTGCATTTTCTAAAGAAAGCTCTGTTGCTGGGCTCTGTCTGACAGGGCTGGGTTTATTTTCAGCCCCAGTGGCCGTGGGGAGTTCAGGCACTGAGCTGGAGGAGAGCTCAGGAACAAGGTGTTTACGGAGTCACTTCCTCCAGCTTCGCATTTGACACTTTGGATTCTTGGCTCCTCTTTGGCCATTTCGTTTGATGGTGCTGGTGARACCCATTTTCTCCAGCAGGTGCTGTGAAAATTTCCCTCTGTCAAGGGGAAATTGAGGAACTGGGGGCTGCTCAGCCACAGCCTGTGCTGTTAGAGAGGAGCATTCCTCACCTGCAGCTCAGCCTGGGACCCCAAATTCTGTGCCCTTCAGTGCTCTTCAGGCTTCTGCTTGAACCCTGCACAAATTCCTATTAATCCAATCAATCCTTGCTGCTGCTCTGGAACTTTTCCAGAAGTTCCATCCTTTCAGTCCCCAAATTCAGGCTCTTGCTCTGCCTTTAAAGCAAGGTCTCTGCAGCRTTGGCAGTTCTGTGCCACCATCTCAGGGCAGAAGTGCTGCCCAAAGCAGAAGTGCTGCCCAGGGCATTCTTTTCCTGGCTGAGCAGCTCGGGGAGGGCTGTGTGACACCAGAGCAGGGGTTTGGCTCGGTTTTCCGCTCCCACAGGCTCCCGGGGCAGCAGCAGGCAGAGATAAAGGGCTCAGCGTGGTGGGGAAGGGAGGCACCCGCTCCCCGCAGATCCCCGTGCTGATCCCGGTGCTGATTGCAGAGCGGGGCTGGGGGGCCCAGAGGAAGCCGCAGTCACTTCGCAGCAGGAAGGAAAAATGACCACATGGAAGGGTGGTTAGAGCAGGGGGCAGGGGACAAAGRGAAAATGCTCTTTGGCACTGAGGGATTTGCTGTGGGGTTGGTCATGGGYATTGGGTTTTACCAGGATGCTTTTCATGCCTCTTTTAATTTGCATTTTTAATCCAGCTCAGTGGTGTGGTTTATTGTGAGAGGTTCTTCATGGGGCAGGAAATAGGGGGCAGTTAAGAGATTAATATGAWTTTTTTATCATCATTCTCTGCTCTGGCCAGCCTAGTGCTATCAGTGTTTTCTTCAGCCTAATTTCTGAAAATAAATGAAYTCCCTCACAGCCTAAAACTGGAACAAAGCTGCAATGTGAGGCACATCCCCCGTGGCCCCAGGACAGGTGTCCCTGTCCCCGCTGTCCCACCGGATCCCTGACCTTGTGCAACACAGGAAAAGCAGCCCCAGGTGCTCTCACGTGGCCAAGAGCCCCAGGAATGGCCTGGCCCGTGTTTGTCACAGCAGCCACAGCACGTGGGGGACACAGGAACACAGCTGGGAGCCACATGGACCTTGGAAAAAAGGATGGACATGGGGTTGTTTGCTTCCAGGCTGCCAGAACAGAACTTCCTGGATCTGCATCTCTTCCCTCAGATCGGGGCCAGCTGCTGACATTGCTGACATTGCTGCCTGCCCTCGTGAGCTGCTCGTGCTCTGCAGTGACACCTGAAGGGACAAGAACCTGCTCAGGTTTGTGTCCTGCTGATGTTCCTGCCCACAAGGAATGAATTCAGAGCCCAGTTCCTGCAGGATCCTTTGGCAGAAGCAGCTGCAGCCCCATTTAGGTCTGTGATGGGCAGTGGTGGAGCCAGGACAGGGAGCAAAGGCACTTCTCAGGGAGCTGACACTTCAATATTGGGATTTTTTAGTTATTTTGCTGGATTTTCCTGTGAAAGGGACCCCATAGGCCATTCCAAAGGTGGTCACTTCAATTGTGCCCAAATCATGTGGGCAACAACATTCCACGAAACATTCCACGAGACATTCCACGAGACATTCCACAATCCAGCACAGCTCAGCGATGAGCTCCTTCCCTTCCAAACATTTTGGTACCTTCTCCCTGCCACTGGGAGCCCATTTCCTGCCCTTTCATCCTCTGCCTTTTTGATCTCAGCCTCGCTGGTGGGGGTTTTCTCTATTTCTGTTTTCTTGTCTCAGGCAGCTTTTGTCCCCCCACACTTCCAGTTCCTGAGGCTGCAGCTGGCCCGGCCGGGGGGCAGCGAGGTCACACTGGGTGTGCGTTGTTTTTGGGGAGCTGAGGGAAAAACGATGGCTCCGGGGCAGGGATGGATTTTCCAGGTCAGGAAGGGAAGGTGAAGGTGGAAGCAGAGCAAAGCTCACAGCCAGGTTTGCTCRGACAGGGAAGGGAGGCTGGGCTGGAGGCAGGGTTTGGAGCTCCAGTCCCAGCTGAGGCATGGGGTTGGATGTGGCTGAGTTGTGGCTCTGGGTTTCTCAGGTTTTCCATGAGGTCTCTTTGCTGGTGAAGRTCCTGGAATGAGTGAGGTGACTCCAGAGGCTCCTCATCCCTGGAAATCCCAGAATCCCCGGATGGTTTGGGTRGGAAGGGACCAGTTCTGCCCCCTGGCATGGACAGGGACAGCTTCCACTTGCTCCAAATCCCGTCCAGCCTGGCCTTGGGCAGTGCCAGGGATCCAAGGACAGCCCCAGCTTCTCTGCGCACCCTGTGCCAGGACCTCCCACCCGCCCAGGCAGGAATTCCTTCCCAAAATCCCATCTAACCCAGCCCTCTGCGTTTAAAACCATCACCCCTTGTCCTGTCGCTCGGCCCATACAAAGATTTCTGGAAAACCCCAACCCCGTGCCCAGAGACAGGAGCAGAGAGAACAGGAGCAGCAGAGCCCGTGGGTTTGGATCACAGTGGATCCCTCACTGCCCACAGCTGCTTTGGTTTTCATAAGGAATGAAATCASCAGCTCCAGGCACACTGAATTCCCTCCATCCATGCGGGAATGTGGCTCCTGTGCTGCCCTCCCCTCTCCCCCCGAGACGTTCCTGTGTCACAGCCACCCCTCATTGGCCCAGGAGCTGTCTCCAAGGCTTGGAGCTGGGGGTCACGTCATCACTGTGAGTAATAACTCGCTGCTGACTGTTTCCTGGGAGGAAAGGAAAGGCAGGAAGGAAAAACAACTGGTCAAAATTTCCACTCATGACCAAAAAAAAAAAAAAAATTTAAAAAGAGGAAATAAAAGGAAAGCATGAATCAGAAGAGCTGGTTTCATTCAGGAACACGGAATTGTACAGAGCGATGAGGAACTGACCTCTGTAGCAGGAGTGTTTATGCTCTTYATTTATTTGTGGGACAGTTTGGCATAAACAGAGTGTACGTGACAATATTCCTGACTTTTTGTCTGAGCTCCATCAGCCTGGCACAGCCTGACATCCAGAGGGTACCACTGGACCACGCTGGTGCTCCTTGACTTGGATCCAGCCGTGTTTCCCTGGATGGGGGGATTTGGGGGATCCCAGGGCATCTCTGGCCACCTGTGAACCCCCTGTCCCCAGGAGGGGACAACGAGGCTTCTCCTGAGAGGGATCACCAGATCTGCAGTGCAGGAGGAGGAGAAGGAGGAAC